TCTCATACTGAGTGGTGGGTAGACAATTTATTTGTTGTGTTACTCTCTTGCTTTACATGCCAGAAATGTTTTATTGAAACAGTCAATAAGTAACTATCATCCAAATCCTCTTAGCCATACAATGGTATGGCTCTGATACTTCTGGCAGTCTCTTTTAGAAAAAAAAAGAATATTGTCTCAAACAGCATATAGTCCTACTTACTGTTTTAGAATGTCAGCCTTCATATCTCCCTGAAACATGTTACAAAGTGATATGACACAAAAGTACAAAACTTTTTACATTTTCTAATTATGCCTCTGGCTAGGCATAGGACGTGGTGGGCCACACCTGTAATCCCAGTACTCTTGAGGCTGAGGCAGGAAAGTTGTAAATTTGAGGCCAGCCTGGGCTACACAGGCAGATCCTGTCTCAAAAAAATAATCAATCAGTCAGTAATCAATAGCTCTGGCTAATGAACTAGCAGAAAAAGTTTGCAAAAATTTAGTCTTTAACCTAGTTTTCTCTAATGGTTAACCAGTTGCTTCAAAAACTTAGAAGAAAACTTAAAACTGACCTCTCCCCAAGGATGAAGTTGTATGCAGAGATTTTCTCACAGCTTGGCTTTACTTCTTTACCTCGCTCAGAGATGTTTAAACACCAGACATTACTTACTGGCTTTCTTTTTTCTATTCAATGATTTCCCATGATAGCACAGAATCAACTATTTCTCTTAATGTCCAAGAATTATTTATCATAAAAATGAAAATCAATTATAATGATGATTTGAAATGTACAATCATTCCCACAGACTAAGACATCATCCTAAAATATAGGTATTATAGTCTATATAGTTTAATTCATTATATGCAAATATAGTTTGTCACTTTGAGGTACATATTTTAACTCAGATGTTATATTTCAAATATTTTCTTACCTAAATAAAAACTAATAAAAAAATATTTTTGGTACCGAGGATCGAACTCAGGTCCTTGCACTTGCCAGGCAGGCAGAAGAACCACTGAGCTAAATCTCTGGCCCCCACTAATAAAAATATTCGCATTGGAAAGTAGGCACTGTGAGGACAGGAATTTGCATGTGATTCACTGCTGTAAACTCAGCACCTAGAACAGTGCTTGCCACACAAGAGAAATTTGAGCATGTGTCAAGCCCAAACACACCCTATGCCTTTTAGTAAAAATGCTAGACTTTAAATGTCAATGAAATACTTTACAATCCGGGGAACCAATCACTAATATCTGTAGCCCTGTGCTTTGAAATAATAAACAAAAGTCACCATTTACTTGTTTTCAGACATTCATATACTCTTTTTCTAGTTTAAACACATTTTAATTCTATTTTCCACCTACTACTAAAACCCTGCTTTTAAAATAAATCAGTACGTAAAAATACATACTCTATAAAAAACTAAAAAATTTTTAAATAGGCTACTCTGGTACATTAAAATATAATTCAAGATGGCAAATAAGTATTATACTTAAAACGATGCTCAACCAATACCATGTTATTAGAAAATCACAAATTAAAATAATTATATACATATTACAATGGCCAAAATTCAAAACCTTTGCAATACCAAATGCTAACAAGGAAGTAGAGTAACAGGAACTGGTACTCATTTCTGGTAAAAATGCAAAATAGTAAGCCACTTTGAAAGACTGACGGTTGCTTACACAACTAAACATACTCTTCCCATATGACCTAGAAGTCATGATGTTTGCTATTTACCCAAATAAGTTAAAAATTTATGTCCATATGAAAAGTCACACTCAGATGTTTATAACAGCTCTATCCACAACTGCCAAAACTTAGAAGTAAGCAACATTTCTTTCAGCAGGTAAATGTAGAAATAAACCGGTACAGCCAGACAATAGACTACCATTCACTGATAAAAGGAAATGGGCCACCACACCATGAAAAGACATGGAGGAATCTTAAATATTTATTAGTCAGTGAAAGAAGCCAATCTAAAAAAGGCTACATACCGAGTAAACCTAACTATATAACATTCTGAAAAAGGCAAAACGATGGAGACAGTATAAGATCATGGTTGCCAGGGGTTAGTGTAGAGGGAGAGATGAATCCGAAGAGCACAGAAGATGTTTAGGGCAGAGCAATTATTCTGTGATACTATGATGGTGGGTACAGGTCATACATACCTTTGTCCAAACTCATAGCATGCACACCACACGGGAACTCTAACATAAACTAAGGGCTCTGTTGTGGAATGCCAGTGTAGGCTCATCAAAAATAACAAGTACATCACTATGCATTTGAGGGGACAGGTGGCACATGACAACTCTCTATACTCTGTCCTCAACGGTCTATGAACCTAAAACTGCTCAGAAAAAAAAAATCTACTGAAAAATATGTTGTAAGGAATTGATGGGGGAGAGAGAGAGATTGTTCTAGTTCAGTTTTAGAGTTTCCAGTTCATGATCTATTGGCCCCATTACTCTGGGCCTCTAGTGGGGTGCCAGATGGCAATGGCAGGGAGCACACACAGAGCAAACTGCTCACCTCATGGCCAGGAAACAAAGAGATCCATAGGTCCCTTCAAAGGCAGGTAACCAACGACCTATGGACCTCCCACTAGGCTCCACCTCTTCAAGGTTCCACCTCTTCCCAACCCTGACTTGGGGACCAACCCTTCAACATTCAAACCTTTGGAGCATGCTTTTCCAAATCACAGCATATGTTGAGATTTTCTATCTATAAATACAAATATTTATACATACAAGTATACATAATACTTATATTTAAATATCAACCACAGAAAAACCTTAAGATAACTATGACCTCACTTCCATAACAAAGTAACTGGAATAATGGTTTACTTTTAATCCAAGTAAGAGGTAAAATTATTTAAGTGTTTTTGTAGAAGTGGTAACCTTCCAGTATAGGATAATACTAATTGTATACTTATCAAGAGGGAAAAAAAAGTGGCTATTACCATAGAAACTACCAGGGCTGCTTAGTGTCTCCATGATTTGAGCAGTTCTACCTGTTGGGCCACTTAAATCTAAGCTTACAGGTTTCTGTCTAACAAGGAAAGGAGAAAAACATCTACATTTGTCATTAAAAACTCGTTAACACACTACAGGATAATGCAAGTTAAAGTGGACAGAGTACACACACACACACCATAAACACCACCAAAGTAATATAGGTTAAAACTGGGTGGCTGCCTCTTGTTGATGTTGTTCTGATTCTCTCAGGATTACTTTTCCCCATCCAGTATGCCTTTAATGTTCATTTTCACCTGTATCAAGAATATCAGGTTGCTGTAATTTTTTTAGGTTAAAGAAAAAGGATTTTTTTTTTGTTTTGTTTTGCTGGGCCTAGTAAGAGAGCTCAAAGTGCTGAGATTTAGTCTAAGCAATCTAGGAACATCCCCTTTTGCCAGGATATGAAGCAGTTTTGAGCTGGAGAATATAATCTCATTCACACAAAAGCACTGTTCCCTGTGTTCCTCTTAAATTGTATGTACTGCAATAGTTCTAACACAAGGAAATCCTTTTCTGGGTTCCTGAGGGAGCCTCAACTAACATATTCATATTTAATATGCCCATCTCCTCATCACACTCAGTGTGTTACTGACAATTGCCTTACCAGGTGCCTGGATTGCACTTGCTGCAATCACCTCAGTCAACAAATTTATTATGCTCAGGAGCTGTGTAAGGCCCCACACAATACCCATATATGTTTTAGGACACCAACTTTCTGTTTACCTGGCCCAGCTGAACTGCTCAATAGCAGCGGCAGAACTGTCTACATATTAAGGACTTCTCTGGGAATAAATAGCCATGTGAAGTTCTGTCAATACTAATTGTATTTCTGAAACTCTAAATTTTAAAAGAGTAAAGTTATGCTGAGAAACATATGGGCGGATGCATGCTCCAGCAGCATAAAATGCAGACAATCTTGAGGGATTAAAAACAAAACCCTACAGACACAATGAACCATAGAACCCTCAGTACTCTTTTGGAAGAAGATTTTAAAATACCACTCACTACTCTAAATCCTCATTTGATGTGAATAACTTTCATAGTATTGCTTTTTCAGAACAGCTTCATTTCATATTTCATAAAGATTAACAATCTTTCCACCATTTAGGGCTGGGTGACACCAAATGACAGACAAAGAACTTATCAAGTAGTCTTTCTCCAGGCTTCAAAGAAAGCGCCAAACAAAAACAGCACCGCCCATCCCCACCTTACCCTGTCTTCTTCAGGTATGGAGCAGCCAAAAAGAGGTAGATATGACTCGTCTTTCCCATTGTGTTTCAAGAGCAAGCCATGATAAAATGGGAAGCTACAGCTGTCCCGCATGGTGAACTCCTGGGGTCCGCCTCTAGCCTCAAATGAGGAACTTGGCTTTGACTTGACCAACATCCTCTTACAGCCCTTGAGCCCCTGCTGTGCAACTTGCCATAAAGGTTTGCTGGCTTAATACTACTGATAATCAGAAACACATTCGTGGACAAGTATAGAGCAGTTACGTATAGTATAGATCACAAATATAGAGAGGACAGCATGTTGTCCTGGGCCCCACGCCATTCAGACACACGCGCGCACACCCTCCCTCTTCAAGTTCAAATCCCAGCAAAGCACCCTGAGCGTCCGTCCACTCCGGAGAGGGAGGAGCAGAAGCCGCGAAAAGAGGTTAAACCAGACACCAGCCAAAGCAAACAACGCTTCAACAGAACAGGAGAAATTTTGGGTTGGGTGGCTGCAGAGGCCCAGGAATGACCCGGGGTGGGGGTGTCAGCCGGTCTCAGGGAAGAAAGACAGACGGGAGCACCCAGCACTGGGCGAGGAGCTGAGCTGCAGAGGAGGCTGGTGTCCCCAGGGGACAAGGGCGTCGCCGCCATCCCTGGCTGCAGAGCCCCCTCTCTGAGACCTGGCCGCGTCCCCAGGTCACTGGGGCAGTCCGGTCGCCCCAATCTCTCCACAGACACTGTCCGCACAGATCCACAGAGACGAGGGGAGCAGGGACCTACCTGGTGCAGCGTCTCGGCTGGCAGCTGCGACGCCCGAAAGAGATCGGCCACAGGGCCAGCGGCCGCGGTGGCAGCGCTCGAGGCGACCCTGGCGGCC